TGATCGTGGCGAAAATTATTGTTTTTTATTTTTTTACGCTAAATTCATGAAATCACTGCGAACGTATTAGTTTTACGTATAAATAATGATCCATTTATTATTCCTGCTGACCGGACTTTTCCTTTAAAGTCTCAAACTAATGCTGAAATATCAGTTTGTTTGTTTTTTTTCTTAAAATAAGTGCATTTGTTCTTGGATTAAAGAGGTAAAAGAGACACTTTGCCAATGGAACATGACTATTTATTTTTAAAATAAGACAACACAATCTCATTGTCTCATTTAAAGTGCATATTATCTAATTATTGTATTTTAAGAGTAAAAACACTCTCTAATTAGGCAAACTATCTCATTAACCTACTCAAATTAGGAGTAAATACACTTAATTTAAGAAATGCTTTACTTATTTCTTGATCCAGTGCATCAAAACGTCCACAGAAGCTTGTTGTGCTTCTATATCCAGAGTTCTGTTCTGTGAATTTATGGAGTTTAATCCAACCTGACTGCAAAAGGAAGAAAAAAAAGCATGTCTTTTTTTTTTAGCCTAGACATTAATATGCTCGGCCTTCGTCCTGTTTTTCTGCAAATTTTATAAAAGAAGATCATTTGAACAGAATCTGTTTTCGCTTTGCTCTCAGTCTGCTGCACACAATGAAAAATCAAAACACTTTTTACATTCTGCCTTCATCCAGACCAAACGGAGCCCATCTGAGCGGGCCGAGTGTCCAGTGGAAAAGCGCTGCCGTTTAACGGTGTAATTATTGTCTGTAAAAGGTGAAGCTGCAGCGGCTGACAGCTGATCTCTCAGAGCTGACACCAAACCGCTGCTAATGAGAACTACAGCGGGTGATTTGTTTTCCCCTGTTCTACAACGCACACACGCACTCAGAAACAAACAGATAAACAGATCTGAACACGGACGCGGGAGGAAAACGGATCCGAACACAAAGGTCAGAGCCAGGCAGAAATCTCAGGAGGAAGACAGGAAGTCAACAGAAAACAGTGAAATATATCACAGCTGTCCGATCAACGTAGTCCCCCGTGAAAAGCCAGATCTTAACATGTTAACAACTGCAAAAACAGCTAAAGGTGAGAATAAAACCATCCAAAGGCTGTGAGGAGTTTTCTACATTTATTCACACTGAAAATCAGCTAATATTCACCTGCTGGCAGCTAAACCCAACCACATGGAAGATGCGACTTTTATTCCATTTAATGGAGGTAAACAGATGTAGAAAATTATTATTCTTTAGTGCCCAATGCAGAGCTCTTCCCTTTAGAAAACATATCACCAATCGTTTGACAGTGACGAGTTAGCTAATCCAGAGTGAGCATGAAAAAAGATGGAAATATTGTGTCTCAGTTTGTAGAAAAAAGTTGAAATTAAGCACTAAAAATAGCGTCTTTAACTGCTGATATATACTGATCGATATTACTGTTAGGTTAAAAAATGTAGGTTTGTAAAAGAGAAGAACTGAATACACACAGAGGGGTTTTCAAATAGCTTCTGCAGAAGGAGAAGAGAGGCGCACCCAACGCACTACTCTCTCTCTCCCGGACCTCCTCTGCAGAGCGCTTTTATTAACAGAACATGACACATGGTTACAAAACAGAGTATTGTTCTGACAGGACAATTCATCGGGTCATAAGACGGGACGCTGTCCTCTTGACTAAATCATAAGACAGAGTGAAGCATCTCCTTTCTACAATGTTTATAAGCACACACACATTCATTTTATAATCATTATTGAATAAACCTAACAATTACATCAGGTGACATAAAGGAGCCATTGTTATCCACTGATTCAGGCCTACTGAAGCGGCGGAAACCATCAGAAGACAAAAAATGCTCTTTTAAAGCCGTTTTATGGGTAGAATGTAGTAGTTACCATTTTAAATTTCCCCACTTTCCTTGGCTGGTCCTTTATAATTCTTTTTTAAACATCCATCTTTGTACTAAAATATTCTTTCTGTCATGATTTGTGGACATTAAAGGCCAATTTATACTTCTGATGTATTGCCTATGCAACCGTCAAATCTGTCTCGACCGTCTGACACGTAGTCAGGATTCTTTTGACGTGCACAACGACGGTTGCAGAACCTCTCCGCGGGGGGCGTGGGCGTGC